TTTATGAGCAGGTAAGTGGCTCTCTTTCTCTCTCTCTCACTGTCTGTGCTGCTTTACTTCCTGATTGTTTTCTCAGATGCTCCAATATAGGGCCATGTATAATTAAACAGGGGGAAGAGGAGAAGAGGAGGAGGAGGAGGAGGGGGTGGAGGAGATTGGGGCAAAAGGAGAAGGTGAGTTTGAGATTTCGTGGTTGGGAGGAAGTACACAGAGGAGTATTTGAGGTTTGTAGACCACACATTGAAGAGCGCACAGGGGAGACTTCACACGCTCGCTGTCTATGCAGATTCTTACAGAGTCTGATTCAATTAGGATTTCACAGAATGGACTCAACGGTGATAACAGCTGATAACGTATTTTCCTATATTAAACATAATTATGTTCCACAGTATGACATTCTACCTTACATTTATTCAATTACAGCTGGTTTTACAGCTCAAAAATACCTAGAAAAACAAGTATTCTGACTGTGAGCGGGGTTGCCTCTCCACAGATTTGACCTGTAACTTGGTCTCCATGAAGACAGAAAGGTTTAACACCATACTGTGAAACATTCCAGACAAAGCAATAACATCTTCAAAGGGAAAAGCATGAGGATTTGACGGAAACTCCACCAGAAAAGTTACGCAACGCACCTCAAAGGTTATGTTTACACTGAAACAATGTATCCCGTATCACCCGTATCACTGTATCAGAAACGATTTGCCACCAGACACATCGTTTCTGTGTCCATAAGCCTTCCCTATCCACACAGCACTGAGCATATTTGTTTACATTTTTCAGAAATGAAACTTAAAACCGCATGGCTAATTTGCTTAAACTAAGTGCTCAAAAAACAGCTTGCTCCTGGTGTGTTGATGCGGTTCAGCTTCTGTCAGACATTAAAAAGGACATGACTCAGTGGAATATATATGTTCTTTCTGTGACAGAGGGGTGTTCTGCTGATGGTGAGTCTGTTCTGTGCAAGTAGTTCTAGCTATGCTGTTTCCCGTTTGTCTCTGTTTTTTTGTTTAAATTGTTTTCACAATAGCGTCACATGACCGATGTCACAAACCCAGCGAATCAGGAAGGTGCAAATCACAGTGATGTGCTCCAATAAGGAAGGCGACTAGAGCTCCTACGTCAGTGTATTAACGTTTTCAGGCGTCCACACAGTGCCGGATCATACTCAGATGAATTCGTGGACACTGGCGGCACCAGATCGTTCCGTCTCTGAAGCCATTTTCCATCGGATTAGTGTGGACGAACACTGCATCCACAACAAAAACAACTTGAATATGTAACAGTGTGGATGAAGCCCAAGACATGTTCTAATGTTGTTACCTCCTCAAAAACAGACCTGGAGTTGTGTTTTGTTTCATTCACGTTTGTGTAACACTTGACATTGTCTGTCTACATCTCCAAAGCTCAAAATGATCTGTTCCCCCTTTATTTTTTAAGTAAACAGTTACCTTTTACTTTTAGTTTAGTAGAGATTGGCAATTCATGGATGAAAATGATCCAAATCATTCTAGTGAAGATGTATGGAGTTTAAAAACACAGTGAAGTGTCAAGCCAAGTCAGGTATAGTGACTAAAAATGTTTATTAAAAAATTTGAAAAAAGAAGAGAGAGAAACGAAATTTAAATTATAAATTTGCCAAAATATCAATATAAGGGGGTCCAACAGTGTGGTTATGCTGCACTACCACATGACTTTTATTAAATTAAATTTGTGTTGGTGTGTGTTTATAAAATAAAAAAAAACACACACAGTGGAGCACTTCGTGTATTACCACATGACATCACAAGGTGGAACAGAGTGTTTTCAGTTTGAGAACTCATCCTAAATATGTAGGGTTTGCGTGTTAAACATGTGTGAATGAAACAAAAAACTCCAGGTCTGTTTTAATGAGAAAACAACATTATTACATAAAGCAGGTCTATCGTCATGGAGACAAAACCAGACCAAGTTACAGGTCAGATCTGTGGAGAGGCAACCCCACTCATAGTCAGAATGTTGTCTAGGTATTTTGAGCTGTAAAGTTATGTTTAAACTGCAGGGCTTAAAGCTCAATTCGGATTTCTTTGCGAGGTCGTTCACATTTCCAGTTAAATGCGACTTGTATGTGATCTCCAGTGTGAACTTTAAACGTCCCAAAAGCGCATATTCGTAAAACGGACAGGTTACACTTCACAGCCGCTTCATTTGTTTGAGTCTGTAGCCTCCTTATATTTGGCTCGCAGGCTCTTTATTTTTTGTTGACATTGGAGCCAGGACGCCTGTAGCCGCGCTCAGACATTTCTTTGGCAATCATTTTAAAAAATGCACAGTTCCGATAATACCCCTCCAATTTGGCCTGAATACAGCGATCTCCCCAAATATTAAATAACTTGCTAACCTCGTTTTCCCTCCATTGACTAGACTCTGAGCCTGACGTGTAGGTGGGATGAATGTGACCTGGCCGTTGAGCCTGAAGTCGCATGTCAAAAGATCAGATATGTATCGGTTTTAGGCGCACATATCCAAGTGTCCTGGGTCGCATTTGAAAAAAATAGGATCTGTGTCATTCAGACTGTCATTAAAAGATCAGAGGGGTGAAAAAATCTGATTTGGGTCACTTCAGGCTGCAGTCTGTAAGGTCTGTTTAATAGAAAAGTTAAAAACTGCACCTTTAAAAATATCTCAAAAACACAATCCAGGGTTTGTCTAGTGGGCTTATTCAAGGACTAGTCAAATTATACACAATATTATACAAGCTGAGAAAATACTCCAAAGTTCACTGAGTTAGTCCTTGAGATAAAAGTCCGATCTGTTTCTAATCTGTGCTTCTTGATCATATTTATTCAGTATACATTAAACTGCATTCCCCAAACCCCACTGCTTTCATACTTGGATGTGTTTAAAAGTGGATCATTTTTCTTATAACAAACCTTGGTATTCCCACTGTAACTATCTGACCTCTGTTCCACATCCCGGCACACTGAAATCGGCAGGTTTGTGTTACACAGAAAAACATAGATTCAAATTGGAAACAGACCAAATGCGTGTGTGTAGTCTATAGATCTGCACTAGTCTACTATTTTCTAATATTTTCACTTCTGTATCTAATCCCGATATTTAATAACAAGGTGCCTTATATATGCTCAGTCATGTTTTTTTGTTTGCCAACAAAATACACACTTCTCCAGTAGGTTATGAACATGTGAGTCTGGGTCTGGGTTGAATCTGGGGAGTTTTCAGATGGGTGTGATTGACAGGTGGGTTAGCCAATCAGGAACATGCATGGAAGAGTCCTGCACTGGGTCGGATACCTGCGGGCAAATAGTTGCTGAAATGGGCGGGTTTTAACATTCTGGAATAGGAAGTCAGGACTAAACCAGGACTAATCCTGCACTCAAGAGAGAGAGAAAATCCAGAGAACCCAGAGCAGGGAGTCCGCAAAGCACAATCGGGCGATGGCTGCACTTACTTCCGTGCGGTGAGTCCTGCTTCAATTCTATTTTAGTCCTGTTTTAGTCCTTCTGGTTCAGTCCTGGTTTAGTCCTGGTTTAGTCCTGGTTTAGTCCTGGTTTAGTACTGGTTTAGTCACTGGTTAGTCACTGGTTAGTCCTGGGTTAGTTCTGGGTCAGTCCATGGTGTGTGTGGCACAAAAGCCTGGCATCTTGATCAGTGTTTCTTCTGCTCAGTAAAAAGTGAAGTGATGACAGTCGAGTTACATCTGTGAATTCATATTCGTAACCGTTTCATTTCATTTCGTGGTTGTAATTCTTGATGTCGTAACTTTTCATTTTGTATTCTGATTGATGCTTCAGTTAGAATGCTGTTAATTTGATCCACAAGGGAAATTATTTTAATGATTTGGATAATTATTTTTCACATGCTTCACTAAAATAAACAAATGTGATTTGATGATCATGTTTGATTCTGATTTGAGATATACTAAGGGAGTGGGGGACTAGACTGATGTCCTTCTGTATAAAAATACAGAGAGATATCAGTCTCTCTTTTAACAGGCAAGTTGTTTGTTAGACCTTTGTTCAAGTTGTGGAGTAAGACAAGTGTAGTTCAAAGAAATGTAATCTGCATGGTACAGTCTATATAATAGAGAGTGTGGATTCTTATCCTGCATGCACAGACTGTATAAAGAAGTGGACTTAGGGAGTGCAACGCTCACTGAGGCTAGCAGTAGGATCATAGTATTTGAGACTGTCTCGAGACAGTTTTTTTGGGGTCTTGGTCTTGTTTCGGACTCAACCACGTTTGTAACAGTCTTGAAGACCCTTGGACTCGGTCTTTTCATAGACTTGACACTCGAGAGCGCGATCATGTTTCATTACGGCCGTACGACCGGTGCTGTCGCCAATAAATACCATATAATAATAATAAATACCACTGCAAAACCAGTAAGATAATGTAACTCCAGTTTGGAACTAAACAGGTTTAAAAATCCTACCCACTTTCTTCACAGTTTTCTTTAAGTGCCAGTGGAAGTTAAATTAAAGAAGGGGTTCTCAAACTGTGGGTGAGGATCCAAAAAAAGGGCTCAGTACTGTTTGCTTGGCTTATTTTAAGCTTAAATTAACATTTATCAGGTAAAATGGAGATAGATTTATAAAAACATTGATATATATGTGCCAAAATAACTGTAAAATGACAAAGGTGGTCTTGATTTGATCTTGATGGGTCATGGTCACGATCCTGTCTCGGTCTCGACCTTTAAAAGTCTTGGTCTTGTCTTGATCTCAACTCTCAGAGGTCTTGGTCTTGTCCTGGTCTCGGGACCCTGAGGTCTCGGACAGGTCTTGGTCTCAGTTAGTGCGGTCATGTCTACATCTAGGATTTTATTTATGGAAAAAATGGCAAAAATGACAAGGCTCACGGCAGCAGTTACAAAGAGAGGTGTGATAATTTGGAAACAGTCGAAGGAGCCAGCAGGATAGCTATGTCCATTTCAAGTGTATATACAGAATATGCCTGCGTGGTACAGTCTCTATATACTGGAGTGTACAGAGTCTTACCCTGCATGGTAGTGGCTGTGGGCTCCGCAAACAGAGGGATGAGCAGCAGGTAGATGAGGTAGACGAATGACAGCCCATTGTACCTGAACAGGCAAGCTGCAAAAAACAAGGGAAAATACAATTAGACATTTAAAAAATAAATGAAATAAATGAATACAGCTTACAGAGAACCATATGTCCATTTAGAATTGATCAGGTTTCTTGTTGTAGGACGTTGGTGGTGATGATGTATCTGTATTTTGTGTGTCTTAGTTTGAATCTTAATGTTATTGGACTGCTGTGATCAATTCTGTAAACACATTTAGCCCTGGTTCCTAATAAAGAAACCTTGAACCTTGAAGTTTCATAATGTTGTGAGGTCATATGGCAATACAGGAAGTGCTCTATTGTGTTTTTAAACTTCACAAGCCTTCACTAGAATCATTTGGATAATTTCGGCCCTGGAATTGCTGATTTCTACTGAACTAAATGTAAAAGGTAGCTGTTAACTTGAGCTTTAATTGCTTTACATTTGTCTTAATTTAATCAAACTTAACAGCACTTTCGCCTCACAGCAAAAGGTCCCATATTTGATCCTGATTCAGAAATTTCACGGTCCAAACCACCAATTCTTCCTGACACGGGATTGTCTATAGATTAGTCCGTTAAAAAGACCCCAGCTGATCATTGACAAGCTGACATAAGTGAGTCTCAACGCAGTAAAAGTAGTGACAGAAGACATTAAGTACTCTGGTTTGAGAGATGACCACTTAGACCATCTCTTTCATAAATAATAATACTAATATCACAACTGCTATATGAGATTTTGGGGAAAAATAAAATACAAAAACCTTCACCAACTTTGAGCTGCAGAATGAACAATCCAGTAGTGAACAAGTTTTATAACAGGACTAAAGCCGGTCTAAAGCCCAATGAAACAAAAACTAAACCAGGATCAAAACTAAAAGAGCACTAACCCAGAATAAAACCAGATCTAAACTAGGATTAAACTAAACCAGTAAACAAGAGAACATATTTGAATATTTGAAAGGGGGGTAATATTTTGGAAGGTGGGCTGGATTAGAGTGTTTTAACAGCCTGAACTGGGACCCGGCCACAAGTTGAACAGACTTTCGATCATTTGTTTTTATAAAGTAGAGATAGATAAAATATCGTCCACTGCTGGAGATTTAAAAAAACTTTGTTTGGTTCAACCAGCAGTAAATGCATGAAAAATATACATGTAAAGCTTAGTTTGAACATTTAAGTCTAAAGTAGGACTGGGTGATATGCAGCAAGAAAATATATCTCTGAATATATTTTGCTATATCTCGATATATGATATATATCTAGATATGTGTACAGGAAAAATAACCCCCCAAAAACTACTGCAAAAACAAATATGCTAAACTCCACAAAGTCTTTTTTTTTTTTTTTTTATTGAAGTGCAAAGAGCTAGACAGTTCAAGTAGAAACAAAGTGCTTCTGCCACATTTAAGATTACAAAAAAACCTAATTACATTAATAATAATTTAACTGTAAAATAAAAGAAATAATACATATTGCCTTCTTTTTATTCATATATAAAACAACTCAACTCAATCTCCTCTTTGCATTAACTCCATGAGCTCCTTTAGCAGAAGAAGTTCAGGATGTTCCTTATTTTAACAGATCCATGTCCCTTACCAGCTGTAAGGAGCTATGAGGTTTCCCACAATCCACTGCAGATCAAACCAAACGTTTCCAAACACTATTGTACAAATTATACTGCAGCAGATTATTAATTAAAATCTTCTACATAAATAAACTTTACATTACTAAACTTTACAACATATATCATCAGCCAGTTTGACATTATAATGTGTTTAATGCAGCTTTGTGCTCATTTGTTTACGTTTTACAGAAACAAAACTTAAAACTACACGACTCATTTGCATAAACAGCGCGCTCCTCGTGTCCTGATGCGGTTCAGCTGCTGTTGGACTAAAGGACTCAGTGGAATATGAGTGTTCTCTCAGTGACAGAGGATGTGCTGCTGATGGTGAGTCTGTAAACGTTGGAAAAGGTTTGTGGTGCTAGAAGCTTTGGTTGGCTCCAACTTTCGGCATTCACGACGGTAGTGAGTAGTGAATGAGACAACACGCGAGGGAAGGGGTAACAAAACCAAAGAGGCGGGGGAAGAGCACAGAGAAGGCAAACAAGCAAAGTGGAGAAATCAAAATTAAATATAAGCATTATATCGATGTATACAATATGTCAGAATCCATTTTATGTTTAAAAAATATTGAAATATCACCCACCCCTAGTCTAAGGAGGGTACTGCAAAAAATTTGATTACACTGGACTCTGCACAGTTTGATAGTAAAAAAAGGGTGGGGATGAGTTTGTACACATTTTTTATCACCTAAATCGGCTTTACATATCGGTCCAAAAATGATCGGTATCTGCATCAGCCATGAAAAAAAAAAAAAAAAAAAACATCTCTGTCATAAAGTACAGTAACTTTCTCCATGCTCATGGTTGTATCTTCCATTATTAGCACTCTCCAACATGTGGCATCATTAAAACCATTTTCACGAGTGGGAAACCTGATCTGTGTAATAAAACATACCACAGCAGAGAGCAGCTCACCCCAAAGCCCGCCTCCTCTCCGCCTCATTTCTCCATCACAAACTGCCTTCACGCCCGCGCACACACACACAAAACTCTTGTCTACGGAGCTGTAATCCCGAGATAAGCCATTTGAGTTTAATGTAGTGAGACAATTAACAGTGTGGACCAGCTGCTCGGAGCTCACCGGGCTGCTGGGAGAGAGAGAGAGACCACAGACTCCACACTCGCCATTTTGTTGTGGCAAATTTAGATCCTTTAAAGGCGTATTGTTTAACTTTTCTGGTCGGAGGGTCCATCAAATGCTTTTGAGATGTTATTGCTTTGTTAGAAATGTTTCACAGTATGACGTTAAACCTTCAAATCAGCCCAAGTTTCAGATCTGTGAGATGCGACCCCGCTCACAGTCAAAATGCTATGTTTTTCTAAGTATTTTTGAGCAATAAAACCTCCTGTACTGTAATAAATGTAAGGTAGAGCCGTTTAACGTCATACTGTGGAACATTTCACGCAGAGCAGTGACATATCCATAGAAGCAAAAAGGTGACAGACCCCCAACCGAAAAGTTACATAGCACTTTTCACAATTTAACCTGCTCCAAAGAGTCAAAAATATCAATCATATTAGACAAACGTAAGAACAGATGATTTTATTAGTCAAAAAAATCTTAAAACCGGTCATTTTCACTTAAGGTGCTTTCTGTTAGCCTAATTCATCAGCAGGTTTTACTTCCTTTCCCTTCATACAAACCGTCTGACCTCGCAGCGTTGGAATTCATCCGCTCGACGATAGGTGGGTACTTGTTGTCATTTAACCAGTCGCTGCTATTTGGTCGTCACGTACGTAACGGGGCTAACTGGTATATTAAGCTTTTCCCAAATCTTGTAGGAAAAAGGGCAATAATGTCTTTCCCCTTGATTAAATTCATCAAACATTCTCTTTATTTTGGCTTTAAATCCTCGATCTCGGGAATCGTCGGCAACACAGGATGTATGGCTCTTTGCTGATTGGCTGGTGCCCGAACTTGCACTTCCAGGGTTTTTGCGAACCGTGTATTGTATTTTGACCTAGTGTTGGGAAGGTTACTTTTAAATGTAATCCCCTACAGATTACAGATTACAACACCCCAAAATGTGGTTTGTAACGTAATCCATTAAATTACTTAAAGTGAGTAACGTAATCTGATTACTTTGGATTACTTGATATTGTCGTGCTTTTTTAAACGACATGAATGTAGCAACCACATCCTCCCTCTGAAAATTCTTGTTTGTTGTCTTCAAATTGTCTGAGCCAAGTCTCCATGAATAAGCAACTGTTTGCTATAGAGAAACAAAGACCACGACATCTTTAATATAAGAGGTTTTGTCTGTTAAAAGACAGTAACAAGATCAGCTTTTCCTTCACCAGATTAAAAAATATTATTGATAGAGAAATTATTTTTTATATGAGATCACCTTAAATTATGTCAACCTAAACTGTTAAACCAGGTGTCATGTTGTTTTAGACCTGGTTTAGTCCTGGTTTAGTCTGATTTTAGACCTGGTCTAGACTGGTCTAAGTTTACGATTTCCGAGTCTTTGCTTCTCTACAGCAAATCAAGTAATCCAAAGTATTCAGATTACATTACTCACTTTAAGTAATTTAATGGATTACGTTACAAACTACATTTTGGAGTATGTAATCTGTAATCTGTAGGGGAATAGATTTTAAAAGTAACCTTCCCAACACTGCCGTTCACACCAGAGTGTCAAAAAACGCCCTAGATGCCTCTATTTGGGCGCCTTTGCATTTTAGTTTAGACACCCCAACGCACGTCTTTGACACCGTGGATGAACGGGATTGGTATATCAAGTTTATTTCTTAGTATTAGGGTGCACTCACACTAGGACTTTAGAACCGTGCCCTAAAGCGCGGTATGTTTGTCCAGTAAAACCTTACAAAATAAAATGTTCTTTCTTTTTTTGCACATTTATACATGCTGAATACACCAACAATAAATATTTCTGTGCAGTTTTTTGAATTGGAAGTTTTACAAAAATTAGTAATATAAGTAATATTGATTTAATGTATAATTTTGGTTATCAAATGTAGAAAGTCGTGAACATATAGAAAAAGAACACTGAATGAGAGGGTGAGTCCAAACTTTTGACTGACCGTGTATAATATGAAATAGAAACGCTTAGAGAAGAATTTGCAGCAGGTGGTATTATAATTGAAATGCCCTTTGACACATACCATGCACTTGCAAACTGTTTCCAAATGAGTCTCTCACTAAATATACTAACATGGCGTGCCTGGAGACGGTGGAAGACGGTAACGCTATTCAAAGGTTCATACACAAACTCTGAACTGGGCTTCTGAGTTGTGAAAGCAAAACAGAAAGTACGAAAACATGGCAAAAACAAGATGCTAAAAAGGGGCTATTTTACTTCTGTGGGGTATTAACTTGTAACGATAACCTTTAGATCACCATGTTACCTTTAAATGTTTTGAAAATGCTATATTCA